TAAAAAGGTAACCCAGGTATCAAAATGCTTTCCCAGTGATCTGACATTAGAATGAAAAATTGCGAAATGTTGGCGGAATGGAACTATACCTGTATTAAATTGATCAATGGAGTACTGTTTACAGTTGTATGTTATTGGGTGTGTATCAAGAGGGTCCATGAAAATGAGTCCAGTCTATATTGGTGGTCCATGATAATAATTCCAGTCTATGTTGGACGGATACGGTCTATGTCGCTGATTGATAATATCCTAATGGCACTACTTCCTTCATTCTTCCTGGCATATATTTTTCCATTTACAGTCCATATAAATTTCCATTGGGCTTCTTTTCACTTCTGGTTTGCGGTGTGTAATAGCTGTTTGTTAGCGGGGGTGAGATTTTCGTTGATAAAGACACGTGTACTTACATTTGTATCAATGTTCATATCTTTTGTAGTTTTGTTTTTTTATGTTTTTCCTGGAGTTGAACATTTTATTTCCGGTGGTTCTTCTTACAAATTTTACTATAATGGGTGGAGGTTGTTGATGGTTTTTTGAGGGCAGACGATGACTGACATAAACGTCATTTTGTGAAACCTTAATGCCGACAGCATCAGAAATGTTCACAACTAAATTATCGGTATCTTCATTTCGTTGTTCAGGCACTCCATGTATCTCGATATTGTTTCTTCTGGTGTACTGCTGTAATTCCTGTAACTCATTTTTTGTAGCGCTTAGTGAGGATTGTGTAACTTGTAGTTGATTACTCAGTAACTCATTCTTCGTTTCAAGATCTTCCATACGATGTTTATAAGCCTCAAAATAATTACTGATAAATTCTACCGACGTTTGCAGCGTACTAATTTCTTCTCAAGGGAGGATATGTTATCGATTTTCTTTTCAAGTGACTCGAGCTTTGTCATGATTGTGTCAAGTTGGTTGATATCCGCCATCTTGCCTCTAATATGACATCATGGTTACAGAAGGAACAACAAACACAAAATATCGTGTACTTGGAACCGTGATAGATGGTGATCCATGATAGCCAACGCTATGCAGTACAGCACAGAATGAATGATCAGTTGACCATCGATTGCTTTTCACTTAAATCCCACTTATAAGTCTAGGGCTCTGTTAATGTATTTATATTATACAGAGTAAAATACAAACCCGGAACCTTTGATACTAGTTTTAATAGTATGAATCTACTATAATAGTTGTCCGAGATATGGTCGCATAGGACAACAAATCAACGATCCTACTCCCTTAACAAGTTAAAGGGCGGTAGTCGTCGGACCACGCATGCGCGAGATATATGGGTCTCATATAAACAAAGATGGCGACTTTGACTTTGCGCAGATCAACAAGTACGAACTGAGACGTTTCCAACCAATTAGGTAATTTTCGGGTGATTGGAAGGTATCGAAGGAGTCGCCGGCGGTAATCAGTTCAAGTCGCGCCCAGATCAAACCTCATACTTCCATACTTTTTATTTGAAGAGCGCATTGGATTGTGGGAAAATCAATGTTTATCAACACAAATGTCGCATATGCGCAGCGCGACGACCACCGCGCCTTAATAAGGATTCCGCGTGTCCGACGTATGGGTTCGTGAAACTGACATAGTGATGTGTCGACACTGATCGTTTCTATATGGGTGGCGACCTCTAGTGACAGAGAGTGCTTCAGTGACGTAAAGTGGTGAAAACACTGAAGGCACTTTCCATGGTGAAATGGGCTCGGTTCACAGCGTCCATTGTTTTGATCTGCACTCGACCATCAATAATAAAACTGTTAAACATTAAAATTATAACCCATACGTGACGGACGACTGCATAACCAATTAACGGAGTGGTTATTTTCCGTATAGTACATTGCAGTATTGTTACTTGTCTCACTAGTATGACTCTAACCAAATCTGCTATTGTCGTTGAATATGGCCGACTTTTGACGGAAAGAAAAAATCCGATTTCACAAATTTACAATAGTTTTGAATATATTTCAATGATCACGACGGTAAATAGGCGCGCGCATGGCTACATACAGGCTGTACAACTAAGAAGCTTCGCAGTGCGTTAAAAATTACACCGTTGCCATGGAAGATACGGTCAAGAAAATTCTCCGCTAGAAAATTGAATCAATTAGTAAAAATGCATTCCCGTTTTGCTGCTTTCTGCGAAACTTTGTATCATTAGTATATTACCCTACGGTTGCAGTTACTTTTTTTTTTCAATAACCGTATTTCCGAGCAGAGAAATTACTTTATTTGTTTGTCGTCTGCTGTATTAGTGTTAATTATCACAGCGTTAAGGAGTCTTACAGTGCGTCGTCGACTGCCAGTTTTAAGTTTCTTCAGTAGCTTCATTTCATTTTTGCGAGTGTTTGTTCAAGACCCCTATATGGAAATCATCTGTTATGACGGGTTCGTAGGCGATTAACCGAAATATCAAAAAAGCTGATCTAACCAACGTGCCTTTATCGATCGTCGTTTCTGAAAATAGTCAGTGGATCTTGAAGTCGTGTAAAAAAATGTTCGGTCAAGTTTTGCATTCAACTGTTCCATGACGTGTAGGGATAGTGGTATAGTGATGGTATGTTCAGCTATCGGCGTTGACTTGTTCGCGACTCGACATTTTTTTACAATGAAGCAGTTAATTCTGGCGATAATCTGTTATTTGGTATGTTGCCACGTACACGCTGGTGGTGAATTCCAGTTTCCTGAACATGATGGAGTCAAGAGAGTTCTGGACTTCTCCGACGCGGACTTTCAACAGATAGTGAAGCGAAATTCCATGGTCGTCGTGTACTGCACGAATACAAAAAAAGACGCCACTGTAACCAGAGGTAGGGACATGAATAGGCAAATGCTCGAGGTATGTTTATAAATATAATTGCTATTCCCATAGTTGTTCATCTTGTCATTTATTCATCACTGCTCTGTGCTTATCTGCGTGTGACCGGGATGGTCGGATGACGGTATGACAGGAAAGTCAATCGAAGTGTGACCGGGATGGTCGGATGACGGTATGACAGGAAAGTCTATCGAAGTAAAGGTCAAAACGCCGCTCTAGCGTTGACATACACTACATGTCAAAATATATTATGACATTTCCAGCTGAGTTGAATTTTTCTCTCTTGATTTTGGCTCTTGATCTGGTCATTCTAACGATGACAGAACGCATCGGATGAAGTCCCTCCTTTTCTAATTGTGGCTCTAAATTAAGTTTGCCTATTCATAGGAACATTTCTCCGTGCTTGAAACACCAGAAATACCCGGCACTCAGTGAACTTTCCATGTATTAAACCGTAGTTTGAAACGCGTGTTGTCATAGTTATATTTTTGATGCGTGCAAATGCATTATGCTTAGTGGCGAAGTGGACATCGCTAATTTACAGAGCTTCATATTACATTCACAAATTTAGAGCGACTGAAACGGCAAATAAAACCTCCAAAACACAGCAGCAGTGATGTCTCGTATTACGTAAGCTGCAATAGGAGTGTTGTGTTGACATCGGACTTCCAGCTATGTTGAAATGATTAATTGCAACTTTGTCCTGTAACTCGATCCCGGTTTTGTATCCCGCACGCCATCTAAAGTGGGCGTGGCAGCATGATTTTTTTAGTAGACCTATTAACGAGGCATTCTAGTATAGAAATAACAATGAAACGATTAGACGGGATAATGAGAATTCCGGTCGTGAAAAAATACTTCTGTTAATGATGTACATTAAACTTCCTCCAATGAGAAAACTACCAAGAAAGGATCATTTGTCTGGATATTTTGAATAATTGAAAAGAGCTTAGCCAGGGTATAGAAATACTAGAGGACATATCTGGATAGTT